TGCAGCGACGCGGATCTGATGGTAACCGCTACGAAGATCAATCTTCGTAAAGAAGCGGTTGCCTGCTAGGCGGTCGAATAGCTCATCGGAACGAGACATGGGGTAGCTGTTCTTAACCGTGTAGCGGTTGAGGCCGCGGTAGTCGATGCAGAGACGAAGAGTTTCATCCGCTTTGCGAGCAAAGAGGACGGGTGCACCCCATGGGGAGTTGCTGGGTTTAATGAAACCCAGTCTCAAGAGCTCCTCAAGCTGACGCTTGAGTTCGGTGGCCTCGAGGATCGAGAGTCTGTAGGGTGCCTGGTGATGAACACGATCGTCAGGCACGAGCTGAATGGAGTGCTCGACGTCTGGCATCGGTGGGATACCGGCGTATGAGAACGACGATGGGAAAACGTCGTGGTACTCTCGGATGAGGTCACGAACTGCGGGCTCCAAGTCATTCGTATATCGTGCGAGTTTCTCAGCGTCAGCGTCAGCGCTCGACGGAGGGGTGGACTCGACGGATGGCGGAGGGACGGAAGTAGAGATAGGAGCCATGGAGATAGAGGGAGGATCTGGCTCCAGACGGATGAGCTCGGCGTCGGGACAGGGTGGATCATGGTGTACGAGATCCGTCACGATCACCATAAAGAAGGTGACGTCGTCCTGTCGAATGAAGTGAGCGAACAGCCGAGGCGAGGTGACAATGAGAGAGGGAGATGGTGTGGGCACTGAAGGCTCCGGGGGAGGAGGATTGGGGCGTGGTGTCGCGATACGTCTGTCCACACTTCGTTTTGAGAATCAGAGTGTTGGTCGCCCAATCGGCCTCGGTGCTGCGGAACCGACGAGACCACGGAGTGCCGAGAATGAAGTCGTACCCCGTCTCCATCACATCGAAATGTGCAGAGGATCGGTGGCGACGAGACGCCGGGGAACGCTCAGTCAGCTCGAGAGTGAGGAAGAAGGGGAGGTCGGTGACCGTCTGATCGAAGAAGCGCTGGGTTTTGTTATCCCCTAGGGTAACGGAGATGGGAGTCGGAGACCCTGTCGTGGGTAAGCGGGCTTCCTTCACCACGCATGGGTGAATGAAGTCGCCCTGAGAACCGGAATCCCACAGCGCTGAGTACACCCTCGTGGAGGTCCCGAGTCGTACGGGGATGATCGGGAGGGTGCGATCAGGGTCAGAGAGGATGGCGAGAAGGCGACACAGTGCAGCGACATGGAGGGTGAGTCGCTCCTGACGAGCCTGGAGCATGCTCAAGTCCAGAAGAGAGGACACAACGTCCTCGCGAGTAGCAAGCTGCTCGCGGCAACGGGCTGAGCGAATGGCTCGACGCGTCGGTAGTCGCGGCGGGGGAGGAGGGGAGACGGTGGTCTGCGGAGGCGCAGACGGCACTGCGATAGAGGGTTGAGTACACTCTGTCGAGTCCTGCGATACCTCAACTCCAGTAGCGAGAGGGGCGAACCGCGACGGAGATGTCGGGAAGCCCACTTCTGAGGAGGGCGCAGGTGTACACTGCACCGTGGCTAGGAGGCGCCGCGGGGACGTGAGGCG